AATCACTTTGCAGCCACACAGCCCCCGCTTTTGTTTCTGTTGGAGTGAAGTCATTGGGAGTGTAATCTAGTGTTCTCTAAGCTTGTCACAACAGTCCAGCATGGCCTGTTGATGAAGGCTCATCCTTGGCTGAGGATGAAGGCTTTACCTTGCATTTAACCCTCGATGAGCTTTGACTCCACAGGAAACAGTGAATCAGTTAACATTTAACACTGTTTGGCATAAACATTCTCATTAGTGAGTCCTCACCAAGTGTCCTGGGCAGGAAGGTGGAGAATCTGGTTAGCTCCAAATAACGTGGCTGAACATGAAATCCCACCAATCCCTGAGCTTGCCCCAAGATCAGACCACAAAATGCATGCCTGAATAGACCATTATAACTTCAGGAATTTTAAAAACCTTGATGATCAAATATATGTTGTTAAATCCTGTTGTCCATAAACCTTGTTCTTGATTTTGTCCCCATCTGTTATTTTTCACTGTCATGCAAAAATCATCATACAAAAATCTATCCTAGTGTAGGGACCATTGAACACACCGTCCTGGAGGTCTGGTGTCGCCTCCCTAGTCTACAGAAGGAGGTGCGGTGACAACCAGAGGGGCTCAGTGGCCGAGCTGCCTCATTGGCGCTGCTTTGGTTGGTTTATACCTTAACCACGATGGTGAGAAAGTCACATGGTAGCCTTAGTGATGACAGCTGCTGGCCTCGTGGTTGCTTCCATCCTGATGAGGCCATCAGTGGAGATGAGGTCATCAGTGGAGATGAGGTCATCAGTGGAGATGGCAGCTGGCCAAGGTGCTGCTGTTTACTCCATGGTGAGCCCATCAGGGACCCAGCCCTTTTTTTTTTTTTTTTTTTTTTTTTTTCTTTTTTAAAAACATCTATTTTCCTAAACAAGAGTTGAATCCAAGTTTCATACAAGCATGCTGTAGCAAATTAAGATTACCTATGTATGTATATAAATACATATATATATATACATATATATATATATATATATATATATATTTAACAGCTGTTTCTGTTAAAAAGTTTGAAGCTAACTTTGTTGCAGATTTTACAGATCTTTTAAACCATACTCAGTGAATTACAAATCCTGGGATACAGAAGTTTATACTTTAGCAAAAGTTTTTAGAGACATTGGGAGTGTATTCAGAGAGTTAAATAACATACTTTGTCGTTTGTAGAGCTAGTAAACAAAACTGAGAAAAAGTCTGTGAGACAAGCTGTAGCAGTCCCTACTGGGAATAGTCTGCTTCTTAGCTGTTTTAAGTACATAGTGTGTTTTCCTGCGCTGCTCTGGTTTGCTCTCCTTCTCCCTGTCACAGAATCACGTGGCCAGACTGACTCAGGACAGAGACTTGGGAGGAAATAAGCATGCTTGGGTCTGGAGAGGGAGGGCCACATGAGCTCCAGAGTCAGCCTTTTTAATAAAGTAGAACAGCATGTGGCAGTTTTTAATGTTATCCACATCCAAAGACATTTGAATCCCTATAAATTGAATTTAATGATCAGGTAGAGACTAGGTCGGAGAGCAGAGAAGGCTCAGAGATAAGGTATTTGGAGATCATTTGCTTGTGTGTGGCAGAAGTTGTGAAAATCTGGAAATTGAGTGTGCCGTTTTTATCCATTGCAGTAAGACAGCTAGGCTCTAATAGAATCTGAGTCCAAGGAGGGAAAGAGAATGGAGGAGGCAAGTGAGGAGTCAGGGGACTGATTCTGAATGGGAAGAGCTTGTGGTTAGAGACAGGAGCAAGCTGAGAGAAGAGAAGACATCCTGCAGAAGCAGAGTGAGGAGGAGGTGGCAGAGGCTTAGGGAAGGGTCACAAATAGCAACTCTGCCAGACTGGGGATTCCAGTATTGTAGAGCGCCAGGAGGGTGTAGAGAAGCTGCCTGATGACCGGCACAGCGTCCTGGAGTAAGGCTCCAGGAGCCAAGAGATGGAAGGCTCCGCAAGCCAATGAGCAGGCAGAGACAGAGCAGGCAGCTCCTAGTGTGCGGCAAGGAGAGACAAATGGTTAGCCGCGGTGTAATCTGGAGGTCTCTGGGTCAGTCCTGGGTTTCAGCCTCAACTATAACTGATGGTACAGAGAAACTACTAAACTAGACTGCTCCATAGGTAAAAAAGTTTATTGGAGATCGAATTGCTAAGCTATTGGGTAGAGGGGCAGAGAGATGAGCAAATTATGGGAAAGTAAGTAGTTATATGTCAGCAGGTGGAGATCTGAGCTAATACAGGGTATTGGGATTGACTGGGACTAGGTGCCCTTGCTAGAGACCGTTGACCTTTGGGGGAAGGTTAAGGGAGGTTCTTGGAGGACTAAGGGTGGTCCCTGACAGCTGGGAACCCAGTTTGGGTGATCAACCTTTCTGGTAAACAGAAACCTGCCCAAAGGCTTGTTTACTGGATAACAATCCTTCTGTTTACCCAGCCAAAGTCCTTGTATAAACTGACATGACCACTCCTTGGTATGGTTAAGATGGGGTTTATTGTACATAAGAGGGAACAGCCAGAGGCTTCTGGAAGAGTCCAGAGCAGAGGGAAAGAGAAGTATCAACACGGCTAGAGCTGTCTGTGAGGAAGAGTCCAGAGCAGAGGGAAAGAGAAGTATGAGCATGGCTAGAGCTGTCTGTGAGGGAGCGCGGCAGGGGGTAGAGAACAGAGCAGACACAGTGAGAGAGGACGGGCAGAGCGGAGAGAGAGCACAGTGAGAAAGAACAGCCGGTCACAGAAGGAGTAGCTGAGGGGAGGGAGGGAAGCCTGTGAGCTGCTGGAGAGAGTTTGGGGTGAGAGGAGGTGAGAAGGGTTAGGGTGCTAGCATGGTCATGAAATGTGTAGCAGGGACAGTTTCAGAGGTTTAGTCCATTATCATCATGGCAGGACATGGGAGCATGCAGGCAGACTTGGTGCTGGAGAAGCAGCTGAGAGTACATCTTGACCCCCAGGCAACAGGAAGTGAACTATGGTACTGGAGACCTCAAAGCCTACTCTCTCAGTGACACACTTCCACCACCAAGGCCACACTTCCTAATAGTGTCATTCCCTTTGGGGGCCATCTTCCTTCAAACCACCACACTTTTTCTGGCCTCCATGTGCATACCCGTGCACATTTGCATACAGACAGACACACATAAATCAAAACAAACCTAGCTTGTTACAAGCAACAGAGACCTCCCTTCTTTCATCTCTTGGGCTCATGGCCCCTGTGCTTACTTAGCTCTGGCTCAGCAGGAGGGTGTTGGTCACATCTGCTTGGTGTTGAGTGTAGGATGTTCTAATTGTTCAGTGTCAAAGTACAAACAGGACAAAAGGCCGGGGTGCCTAGTTAACATATCCGAGCAGACCTGGCCCCCAGGTTCTCCCAGCATCCCTCAGTCCCTGCCTGTCACAGGGTATGACTGGCATACCCTGCCCTCTACCTTGAACTCTGCAGCCCTGGGGCTGGGCTGCCCTTCCCCCAGAGGCTCTTCCCTATGTAATTCAAACATCTTGGTTCCGCCTCTTTTAGTACCTTTCACCTCCTGGCTGCTGTACCTGGATCCTCTCTTCCTCCTCTCCCTCCCCCACTCCCCCCCACTTTTCCTCTCATGGCCCAGCTCAGTCTGGTCATGATCACTCTGGACTCTCCCAGATGTGTGTCTGACTGTGGCTACGCTCTTCCTTTTATCTATAATAAACTTAATCCTCCACCATACCTAGAAGCAGTCATGTCCTTTCCTTTCCT